GAGACACAGCGTCTGCTCTAACGTCCTTCCTTGCTCCAACCTTATTACTCCTTCTTTCTCTAAACCTATCCGCACACCGGAGTTCGGACGTAACAATACAAAATATTTATTTAAAATCTGCAAATTTTTTTTCTGTGTATAATACCTCTCTTTTGAAGAATGTAATTTTTAAAATAACTATACAACTTACTCGTGACCATAAAGTTATTTTATTAAAAGAATTTTTATATAAAATATTTAAAAATTTATACTATAAAGTATTAAACATTCATTTCACAGGAGATTAATATTGTAAAACGCTATTATGTAAAATAATTATTTAAAAAACTTATTAAAATATAACTTGATTACATATTTTATTATTTGTGCGTATGTCAACCTTCTTCCTTACTCAAATTAGTTCACTAATGCCCGCATTCATAGTCAGGCCTTATATTTAAGGCTTCCTTAAATTTATCTTCAGATGCTCTACGAATTATTTTATTGGCTATTGAGCCAATGAAAGATAAGATCTAAAGATTTTTATAAACTTTATAATCTTTGTATTGTTTCTAAAATTAAGAGTCCCATATTCTTTGTTATGATTTTAAGATTCACGTTATATTATATAAGATATGTATAAGATATCTATACACAGAGAGAATTTTATTTTAAAATTTACTCCGAAAATATGGTAGTTGTGGTACAATATTTTAAAGATTTTTACCATGCACTTCAGTAAAATTAATCAAACTTATTTTATACTTTATTGTAGTTTTATTAATGAATGAGAGAGATTTATATTAAAATTCTTGAAAATACATTGTTGTCTCACGACTATCATATTTTCAGGGTAAACTCTTAGAAAAAATTCTCTCCGTATATGCAACATAAAATTAAATTATCCTAATATGCAGCGTATATCTAAAATCGAGACATAAAAATATCATGGATCTATTTTAAGTAATTAATATGAGATATTAATTCACAATATCAATAAAAACAATAAGGTCCTGGCACATAAAAATACTTAAGACTTAAGCAGTAAGGAAATCAACATGTTGCATTCGCTACTGCTCATGTTATGATCTTACGATCTGTACTGTGATTGGACGATTCACTTACTGCTCAAATTTTACGTCTTAAGTTTTTCTATGTGCCATGGCCATGATCTTTATAATGGTCGCACATCCTATCATTATTGTAAAAATGTCAGATTTCTGCCACTTTTTATTACGAATGCTTTCCATGGAAGTTATGAAAAAGCTTAAATTAAGTTCGATTAATTTTAATTATTTTCAAGTACATTAATTCTTTTGGTGTTAATAAGAATGTCTTAGGATTTTTTACGTAAGGTAAGGTTGGAGTTTTCTCACAAGTCTCGAATTTGTAATTCCGTAGTACCTTTATAAGCCCAATTTTACTCTGATAAACACCGAAGCGTGCACCTGAAAATAAAAAGTGATTATAATATGAAATAGCTCAAAGTTATCGAATAAAAATATTTTTAGAGTAAAAAGAAATAGAAAATGATATTTAAATTTATTTAATTTTACCAATACAATTCCTTGGCCCGTCCCCGAAAGGTAGATAAGTCATCGAATGCCTACTTTGCACAGCATCGTCACAAAATCTTTCTGGGTCGAAGACATCTGGCTTTGGATAAATATCTGAATCTTGATGAATCGCGTAAACAGGAATCCATACTTTTTGGTTTTTCGGTATACTAACTTTGGTACCATCAAAAGTATAACTCGACATAGATTGTCTCATAAGAAATGTCACTGGCGGGTATTTTCGTAAGGTTTCTGTATGCATTAAAAATAATGTTACATTATAAGAATGTATTTAAAAAAAACTATGATTAAATTGAAGAAGGTTATTACAAATGAGATATACATACAGGGTTGACAAATAACGCATTACTTGTAACGTCGTTACCTTGTTATAATAATGATTTGGTAATGATATTATGAATTTTTTATGATGGTAATGCTGACATCAGAGTTAGAAAAGTTAATCGTTACTTGTAATGGATTGGAAAAGTTATTCGTTACTGAAAAAAATAACTCTTAATTTGTAACGTGTTACTTTTTAGTAATGAGTAACGTTACGCGTAACGTTACACGTTACTGATTATACTTTTTCAGTGTAACGCGTAATAGTGACAAGTTACTTTTCAAAGTGACTTTTTTAACCCTAGTACAATCTTAGCGTTTAGTTAATTAGTGTTACCATCATAAAAAATTGCAACATCGTCATCAAATTGTTTACTATAAAAAGTAATGACAAAATAACTGAAAAGTAACGTTTGCCAACCCTATATACATATATACATATAACTATATTAGAATTTCACTAAAAAGAACATAGCGTACATTAAATGCATTTACATGCACTGAAAAAATATTAATAACAATTAGATTAAAGTTTATTAGCAATAAAGTTATATTGCAACATCGTCGAAAAAAAAGAAAAGAGAATGAAAGAGACAAAAGCATATTACTTTCTTATTTAATATTTTTTCTTCAAATAACGTACCTTTAAAAACTTTATCTAAATAATCCATTTTTTTTACATTATCGTATGTTAAATCTTCACCATATTTTGCATAGACTTCATTAATTTCTTTACGTAAGCTATGTTGTATTTTTTCATTTAGTGCTAATTCGTAAAGCGCATTGCTAATAGTAGTCGAGGAAGTTTCAAAGCCAGCAACGAAAAATACGAATGCTTGAGCAGCCATTAAACTATCTGTGAAATCTGAAATGTCATTTTTTCTTATAAATAAATCTAACAAATAATTTAATTTTCATTCGATTACATAAATTAATTACTTAACAATTTATATATATGTATAAAATTTATAACTTTGAAAATAATGAATACAATTTTTATTGTATATAAATTGTTGACGATTAATTTATGTAAAAATAATAATTGTTAATTTTGCTAAAATATAGCTATAATAAAAAAGTTATCCTTGTCTGATCATAGTAAAGTTAAAATTAATTAATTTTATTTTGATGTTTTTATTATAAAATTATTTCAAACAATGTGTAAACAAATGTAATTTTTCCATGTAAGAAATTGTCTTATATCGGAAAAAAGCAACATACCCAGCAAACATAAAGTTACATATAATATACGAGTACATATATGTTATAGTAGTTGTAATTTCTAACTCAACAATATAACTGTAATGTAACATATGTGTCACATATTACAGTTATATTGTTGAGTGAATAAATAACGAGTAACAGATATGTTACATGTTACTTATGGCGAATTCGATTGGAAGCAGTAGTGCGCACTGATGCATATTAAAGCTATTGTACATGGATTTAATTTGAGTATAAAAATGAAATACTAATATTTTGAATTGTGAAATACATATTTTATCTAATAGTACAATAAAATGTATTGGGTATTTCATGATTTAATCGAGTTCTATGTTTATTTATAAACATTTCTTTATGTTATTTTGTGTACAACGGCTTTAATTGCAATAGTGCGCACTGAATGCGTCCAATTGAATTCGCTATTAGTGTTTGCTGGATATTATACGTATAAGACACATATGATCACATAAGTACATACCAAAATCATCACCCAATTTATCTGGATGTTTCTTTAATTCACGTAATATATCAATAAAATCATTTCTAGTAACATTATTCGTTTCTCTGTAATCCATGGTCTCCATGATGATTCGTGTGAAGAATTTAGTAGTTTCTGTTTGCGGTAAGATATAACCGAGCATTTCGTACAGCTGCGGAAAAGATTCTCTCATTCTTATTCGTAACATATTTATCCATGTCGGATTTAATATTTTTCTTCCCATTTTGCGAAATTCGCTGTCCTTGTCTGACAATGCGTTCATCTCGATACCGAAGACACAGAAACCGATTACATCAGTTGCATATTTGGCCATCAACTCGCGGCATTCTACTGGTTCATTCAATTCCTGCTCGCTATCTTTTCCATGTACAGGATCAGGTGGTCAGCACATTCTGATATTAAAGAAAACATCTCCTTTAGTTTACCGGATGTAAAAACAGGTGACAATCGTATTCTCAACGGTCGCCATTTCTTTGGCTTCATAGCGAAAAGATGTTGCGACAATGGCTCGACCTACAATATATGACAGAAACAATACATAAATCGAGTAAATTTTTAACTCAAAATTAATTTTTACTAATTTACAAAACTAGCTTAAAAGAATTTGCTTAAGACTTTTAAAAGTAAATCTCATGATTTTTAATAAGTCTCGACAGGGTTAGGTAGTACTAAGTTAAAAAGATAAAAGTTAAAAAGTTAATTAATTTTAATTTAACTTAGTTACATTTTAGACTCTTAACTTTTTAACTTAATTTAGTTACATTTTATCGGTAACTATTAACTTTTAATTTGATTTTTTTGAAGTCAATCCTCAAACACAATACGAGAGGATAATGAGTATATAATTTAGTAATTTTATATTATATAATCGTTACTTGTGAACAAAAATAACCAGATTCTTTAATAAATATGCTGTGAGAAAGAAAAAATACGAAAAATCATGTCAAACTTTTTTTTCTTTTTTCTGATTGTTCGTTCGAATCAATTTTAACTTTTCAATTATTTTTTTATTAACTTAACTTTTAATTTAATTAATTTCATTATGGATTAACTTGTATTTTAATTAAGTTAAATTTTCAAGGCTGTTAACTTTAACTTAACTTAGTTAAAAAAATAGTTAATTTACTCAACCCAGAATCTCGATCGTCATTCATAAAATATAGAATTATGTATACTTATATGATGCGCTGTGTATTCCGTTTACTCTTCGTATATTTTTATACTACTTTATGTATTCTTATAATGACTTTTAGCGTATTCTCACCTTTTCGATACTGGGAAATCCTCTGTCAGCAAAGTTGGAGAAATCTTTGATAAGAATATTCTTAATTAAATCTAGATCTTTTACAATAAGAATGGGTGTCTTCCTAGCGAATATCCCAATCAATGGTTCATTTTTGTAAGTGTTATATATTTCTGTCACATAATCACCCACAAATTTTTTATTAAGCATAACGTCTTTAAAATTACCAAGTCCCGGTATTGGTCGTGGACCAGGAACGCCACGTGACTTCCAAAAGTCGAAAGTCGACGTGAGGAAATAATAAATAGCAAGAATTACGGCGGCAATGCCACATAATATTTCAAAGGATTCCATTATCCAATCGTCGATTAATTATTATGAATAATCTTTACTGAAAAAAAGAGAAAAGATGTTCTGTTGTATAATAAGTCTCCGTCTTAAGGTACCCCCATAGCAAAGGGTCACATTCACACAATAGCGTCACAATATGATCAGGAAGAAAATATAATGTCACTGTGAGATCATAACAAAATGTTAAAAAAACATTCGCATATCATCATGACATTGCTATGACATTATATTTGTGATAAAGCGGACATTAGCATGTCATCGCATGACGTAATCATAATTATTGTGATGTAACTGATGTTTTTTGTTATGAGGGTATTATAGTAAAAGGTAGTTAAATTTGATATAAATGTACGATAAAATATGTACGGTAAAATGTGTTTAAACTAAATTTTTGATGAAATTTTATTGATATTAAAAATCAGTTTTTCTCCCAATTCGACTACCGCACGGAGAAAAATAATTTGCTAATATGGCAAATTTTATGTTACTGTAGTAAAATCTATCAGTTATTATGTGGACAGCAAAGAGATTCGTTAAAAGTACTGATTGCTATTTGTTGAATATAATTTAGCTAAAACTACAAATTATTTTGGGTAATTAAGGTAGTTCTTCAATATTTCTTGTAAATTTATAGCTTGAACTGAAAATTGTATAAATTCACAAGAAAGATTAGGCAAGAAGAACAGCCTTGACCGGAAATGGCCGTTTTTCACTTATGTATGTTTCATTTCTGTACCTTTCATGATACTAACGTGCATGCAAAAAATACAAATAATCTTGAAACTTTTATTCGAGAAACATCACTAGAATTAATATTTACACAAATGCGCAATACGTTACATCATCAAAGAAGATAATTAAGAAAATTGAAGGAAAAAAAACAGTATATATAGACAATTATCTTTCAATACAGCATGCTGAGATGTATAAATATTACGTCATGATACGATGCAAATTATCTTGAAAATTAGAAGTAAAATTCAATTCATCGCCCGCTATAAATAGGATTTACTGAAAAACACAATTCGATGATTTCTCAGATTTCTCCATTGATGTATTTTTATTATATAATCCCTATTTTTATTTATTACCAAAATAAAAGTTTTCCGTTTATAATTAGCATCAATAAATTCGAAGCGATTTCTCGATATACTGGAGTAGAAAAAACGAGAAAAAACTTACAATAAAATACTGTTCTTTCGCTTTAAAATTTGAAACTATCCTTGATCTTAAGCAATACTTTTTTAGCAATAAGATGGCAATAGAGTGATGAAAGATATATTACGGACACAAATATATCAACATTACTTTAATTTTAATGACAATTTTTCCGCGCATATAATGCAAGAATAATTGAATGCACACATCTATAACGCACATACGCACTGTCAAGATATTAAGAGGCTCGTTAAAAACACATCGTTGCAATGCTCCAACGTCCCATTTATAACGCATGATACGTCACCGACGAAATATTTGAGAGATAAAGTGAATAATACCATTTATCAATAGAATTTGATATCATTTTGTTATTCATCACGTAATCAAAAGAAAAAATTACGTCAAAAAATTGATTTCTTTCGCTTTTCCATTCTGCTCCATCTTAATAAGCGACTTCGTTGTCTGATAATAAGTCGACGTGTAATAAAGCGATTTATTTTAACACACTTAGCAAAATAAAATTACCTTTTTTCTTTCTGAAGTCTTTTCAATTTGATATTAGTTACGCAATGGACATGACATACCTAATTGCAGATGTAATTTGACAATGCGATGTAATTGCACTGGCGATATTGCTGCGTACTACTGAGTGTCAGCTTGTAAGTAAACTACTATCATACTAGCTCGCAACGGCACGTGTATAACTTGAAATAACACTAACTGCTGCTGTCTAGTCTTGCGAAATTATATAGACAGATAAGGAGATGTTGAGCTATAGCGAAATTCTCTGAACGTCTTATCAATGATTGTCGCTATCGTTAACTAGCGTCAGCCAATGGCGATACAATCCTGGAAGAAAGAGCAGCTCTCATTAGCTGTCGCTAGTTAACGATAGTGATAATTGTCGAACCGTTTAGAGAATCCTGCAACTGGTACATGAGTCACAATGAATTGTGGAAATAACCAAGATTTATCTCTTTCCGTTGCTCGATGCCATGACTGTAATAATAATAAAAAAAATTTGAACCGATTAAACAATTTATTGTTTATCTATTAAGTTGCTGCAATTCTGGTATCAACACATACTTAGCAATGCATACTTAGCAAACAACATGCCATCAACAAGATAGACACGTTGCTATTTGGGAGAAAACTGCTTTTCAAACGTTTTAAAACAATGTCACTCTTGGGTCACATTTGACCCTGCATCCACCGTGCGTGCGAGTATCACAACGTCCACTGTCCGAAGGTTAATTTTAAAGTTTATTGATGTCAAAAAAACTCCTGATGAAGCTAGTGGTAGCGTCGCGAATTGGCAACGACACGAATATATACGCAATGACGTTCACACGTCAAGCGATCAAGCTGTCAAGCGACCCGTTTTATATTTTTATGCACTTGATATCGCGACGCTGCCGCGTCACTTGATTATATAAAATATTTTTATATATTATATATTTTATTACACAACATATATTACATAACATATATTACATAAAACATCTATGCGCATTAGATGAAAGAGATAGTACTACTGACGTCACTAGTAGGAAATATTCTTGTCTACATTTATTATTTATTTAATTTGTTACAAAATTTCTTTCTACCTTTATAGAAATGGAATACTAGTACCGGCCAATTAATCACTTATTTTTAATTAATATTAAAAGATTTGTTAAATGATTGTATACAAATTGGCCACTATAAGTATTACATTTCTATAAGATTCTTTCTGGAGGGATATTTTTGAGCTGATTTTTCGAAGATATCCGGCAAAGTTGAAAGATGGTAAAACTGAACGTAAATGTTCATCCGAGTTTATCGGAGACTGTGACGGAGAATTTACGGACGAGAAATGTGGTCACAAAATCGTGGATTTATGCGCATCCAATTAAATTTACAAATATCACCGGTCTTTCACACACGGTGCGTATCCCATAAAAAAAGATAAAGTATAAACATTTTTGAAAATTATTGTTGGAGAATAAGCATCGTTTTTAGACATCAAGAATTGAAATAGCGCTGGAAAGAAATGGGACGTTTTCTTTTTTATGCTCGTTTCTATCAATGTAAATTAATTTTAATTTTGGTTCAACTTGTTTTTCATCTTTTTCTCATTTTGGAATTAGAAAAAGATGAAAGTTAGTTGAACCAAAAATAAAATTAAACTACATTTGTATAAACGGGCATTAATAATTTTAAAAATATTTTATAAATTGACGTGTTACGCTTGAAATAATCGATTGTGCTCTATGGGGACGGAGGGTGAGTAGAATAAACACACATATAATTTAATAACACAATTTGCTTTGTTAATTGTACTCTCCAGTTAATCATTTGACTTAACAGAGAAGAGACAATTTATGGCAACTCCCATCCATACAGTAGGGACATGCTCATCCTCGGTCTCACATAGAATATTTTTTTCCAACATATGCGGACTATAGTTTGTCAAGACATCGATGAAAATTACCTTTCTAACATTTACGGACTATATGTTATTAAGATATCGACGAAAATTAACTTGCTGAAGATGGTTTAAAGAAAAACCGAAACGTTCAAGGAAATTGTATCGACACTCATGGTAGATAAATATATTATGTGAATATTACTCGAATTATTTTGTTATATAATTTGCGCACCAATTTCCGCGCTATATTAACGCTCTCATTGACCGTATATTTTATTATTGTATTTAAAAATATTCGTGACGCATTTTTGAAATTGCATCAATTAATTCAATGATAATTCTAATGATAAGATATTTGATTTAAAAATTAGTATCTTTCGATCGATATTAACTCATTTAACTTTTACTCAGAAAAAATGAATGAAATATATATAATAAAAAAATAAGAGATTGATGGAAAATAGTTTTTTTTTGGCTTATTCAATATTCATAAATTCAATCAAATATTATTTGCAGGATATGTTGCAAGTGAAACAGTACATATTAAAGAAATTCAGTGGCATAAAGAATAATGCAACACAGCCTTTCTGTTTCGGTCCATTGCTAGCGCAGTCTATGCTGAAACTCAGCGCGCTAAATTAATGATTAGATTTTGTTCGGTGATGCAAGAAAGCATGCGTCAGGCTTTTTTATTTGATTTGAATCCAGAGAAGATTTAGTCTCGTCAGTACGAAAAGTTTTTATTTGATTTATCTCGAAGAAATTTGACTAGAGAGCTTATCTCCACCCGTCTTGGATCAAACGAATTTTATCTATATTATTTGATACCGTATCTTTGTGCCAAAGACGCTGGAGACTGTGCAATGGAGAATGAACATGTTGCGGTTACACCTGTTGTAATGAAGTCCTCTTGTTCAATGAAAAATGATATATCCACGGCCACCGTGAACTACTCTTCTAAATCATAGTTATCTGCGTATAGATCTGACGCAGTGATTGATTATCTGTTTAAGAGAAATCGTTTTAAACATTTGTGCTATGATATCATTAGTGCAAATCGAGTCCGTGATCTACGTGATCTCAGAGGAAATTACGATCACACAAAGTTTCCTGCTGTGGCTGTTATTGATTTCGTTCTTTACGCATCTCCGCATTCTGATAAAACGACCCTTTGCCAGAAATATGGTTTTCTGACGATGTTATTGAGTGAACTTCCTTCAAAAGAGGAATTATTTCTGACCATCACGATTTGCTCCAATATGCTCAGTTTTCCATTACTGTATTACCATTTCATGAAGTATTAACCAAGGAAAGTATTAACCGAGCAGGTTTTGTAGTCCGGTATTGTAGTCGATACTCGCTTCTTGTTTGGCAACAGACACGCTTCGGATATCATAAGCTGACCATCTTGCTCCTTTTTGAGCTCTCTCTCCAAATAGATGGATTGATCCGAGATAAAACTCAACATTAGAGATATACTCTGGAGACCAGAAATGATCAATTGTGCCAGAAATTGGCGAGCTAATGTTGTAAACTGGATCATTATCATCCCAGGTTAGGTCGGAACACCTAATATCTTCTACATCGTTCGACGGTAGTATGGTAAAGTTGCTATTACCACCATAGTCTACACCACCCATGTGAACAAACTTTGTGTACTTCCGTCCAATTAATTCAATAGCGTCCATGATGATATTAATATCTTCGCGTAATTGATCGATGCCATAAAATGTAGGCATAATTTCATCCGCATTACTTAAGATGGGAAACGCTTCATTAGGAGCGCCATCATCACGTGGTTTTTCCTGCAACGTCCATCGTGCATTAGGAAAAGGACTGTGGTCGTAGAAATATTTACGTGTAGCATAAGCTGTTGCTGCACTACTTAGTGCCACTACATAAGTGCGCAAGGTGGAGAAATTGATAACAGTTGGATCATAACACACAATGTGATTGAGTGTAGGTGCTTTTACCATGCGTGGAATATATAAAGTGCCGAATGCCTTTGCAACTCCAATCGACGAAATTAAGTTGACGAGAGGAGCAAAGTACGCTCCTAGTTCACAAACAATGCGAACAAACTCAGACTTAACATCAATCGTGATGAAATCATTCGTACCAATGTTTCTTGAACACTGGTTAAGCATCGTCTGCATCAACTTCACATTCAATTGAAGCAACGTTACTCTATATAACGCCGAGCATAAACCGTGGAAATCAACATTCTGTATATTCAAGCGTGCAAACTTACAAATCAAAAATCTTATCATAAAGCCGATGGACCTCGTTGAAATAGGAAGTATAATACTTCTTGGTGTTATCATGATCTGTATGCTCTTCATAGCCTCGTTCTGTCGTTTGAAGCCATAGTATAACTTTTCATAAAGCGCTTGTTTTGCATTAGAGTCGTTCTTTTGAAATGAAGTCTGTGAAGTCGAAGCTCGAAAATCATCAGACCTCTTCTCACTCTGCTGTTTCTCCTTAGCTTTAGCCTTAGGGCAAGGCTTCTTCTTGAGAATCTCCTCCTTAACTTCTAAGGTAGATACTGCTACTTTCTCCATCTTGAGTTTCACCTGGAAACAGAAATGTTTTTCTAATCCCGGAAATCCACAAGTCAAGAAAAATACTATTACAAAAAAAGATATGTATTGTTTCTTTTTATATGCTATTTCATTCTAAATATTATCTTATTCAATCTAACTTACTGAAGTTAACAAAAATGATGGGCTAATTTATCATAGCCAAAATCTGTTATAGAATCTCTAATTCACTGTGTTACACTGTGTCTTTAGTGAATTCACTTGCATTACACTAATATATACTAAAAGCTGCTATACATTAAATTAACTACGTTAAATGTAAAAGCATATATGTATATAAATATTTTAACCGAATTCACCATGTGTCTCTTGCTGATAAGCATCCTAAATTACATACTTGCTTAAGAGACTTGATAGATCGTTTAGGCTTATCGTCATTCAGCAGGCTGTAGCCGCTATCCTGCGAATCTACAGTAGGTTCCTTTAATATTTTCTTTACCATAGGTTTTGGAGGTACATATTGAGATCTAAGGCCATCTTCCCCTAATGTAATCATCCTTGTGTTCCTTGTGTCCACTGATTCTATATCCAAAACATTGTTAAATACATGAATTATACATTGTATATTATAAAAATAACAGAAATATTTTCTTCAGAAATATTTAAATGACTTGAGCATGAAAGAGAAACGAGTTCAAAAAATGTTCACCTAAACCTAGAAGATTCTATTTCTTCCTCTATTGTGTTCAATCGAAGAGCCTCCAGTCTTTTGTCGAGTGCCTAAAAAAGTCATCAGAATTTTCATCCCTCTTCTGCACAACGAAGAATACAAGCGCGATAGTCGAGATGCTCCAAAGCGAAAAAACGCGAGACGACAAACCGCGGAAAGTCTTCTCGTCGTCGACGGAAACTCTAGAGCTCGAAGGAGGTTATAGGTTAACGCGAGACGTTCACTCTTACACTCCGATTTGGAAAACGAAATTCTGGGATATGTCTTACTACGGATTCCTCAATCTGCTCCCAGCTCTCGAGAATTTCGTTCATGGTCCGGGTGCGTCGCAGAAATTCTCATAACTCGCGTGCAGCGTACGAATTCTGATATGCTGCGAGGACTGAAATAAAGAACAGCACGCCCGTCGGCCCGTGCACCGTGCGGTCCTTGCCGTGATCAACATGAAATGGCACAGTCCACTCCATCGATTTGTGCGAAAATGCGTAGTTATGGTGGAATGATATAAGATGAAGCCTTAGAAAATAATATCAAAATGGAAATTATCTGAGCATTATATCCCTGGTGAAAATTTTTATACAAATTGGAACATTTTTCAGAAATATTCAGAAATATTCGGAAAGTTTACATCTTCTTTCAGAATCTTTCATACAAGTGCAAATTCTGAAATATTCTGAGATTTCTTATTCCATAATTTTTAAAAAATATTTTTAAATTTTTTAGATTTTATAACATTTTTATCAGAAATTTACTTACAAAAAATCTTAGAAATTATTTTACGATATTTCATAATTAATATACATATATATATGAAAAATTCTGAGAAAAAATGTAGATTTTTTAAGAAGTTATTCCAATTCGTATAAAAAAATGTGAGAAGGTTATATAGAAATTATGAAAAATTATTTAGAAATTCTAAAAAATTATATAAAAATTATGAAAAATTATATTAAAAATTCTGAGAAAAATTTTTATCAGGGATGGACATTATGTAATATAATTATATAAAATAAAAATATAATTGAAAACACTAAAATGAAACATTTTTTATGATTCCAATAAATAATAATCATTACTGTATTTACAAAATCATTTACCTTTGAGACAATTTAAATAAAAGTTAGTACGTCGATTTTAACATTAAACGTTGAACGATAAATTTTTTAGAAATCTTTACCTTATCTTTATCTGCTTATTGTAGGTTTGTATATATAATGCATAGACATACATATATTGAAAGAAGGAAAATAGTAGCAAAATAAGTATGACAATGTCATAAAGAATTATTTCTCTATTTATTTCAATCCATACCATCAAACATTTACTGTAGAAAAATGTATAGTGTGCTGGGTCCGACTATGTATATTTATGACCTTTCGTACTTTCTTTCGTTCTTCTCGAATCTTTAGGATACCTTTTTCTAATTGCTACTCGTTATATGTAAGTCATGACAATATTAAAATACAGACACACAAGCGTATCGTTTAGAATTCACGATATTCTTTAAACTTCTGCGATGCATTAACTTCAGGTATGTATTTACATTGTTATGCGCGTATGTCATTTAAAAGTTTAAAGCTTTCCTGAAAAATACTGATCTTCTAAATTATGTTTTTAACATCGAAATTGACTAGAACGATTTCGCGCATATAAGATTGTCAAGATTATGAATTAGAAATAACCATTAATAATCGTTAAAAACTTATATGTATTTTATGTATTTTGTAAAGTAGAAATGGATTCCATATATGGATCTGACATTTAAAAGAAAAGGTATTTGGCGAATATAAAAAGACGAGGGGATCGAATCATCAGAAGAAGGCTGATCAGCACCGCAAAATTGAAGGCTGATAACTATTTACAAGGTTTATATAGATGTATATCGCACTCTAATCTACTAAAAATGGATTTGCATAAATCACATCGTAAAGAAACCAATGAAAACGAAAAAAGTGTCTGTCTATTAAACATATTAGTAACGATATTGAAAAAGAATTCTGAACAGCTGCCCGTTTTGTTTGAGGTACGGTTTTTAGAGGAAATCTCTCTGACTGAAATTATTCCCACAACGTTAATCCAACTAAGAATGTTTATTGAATACATGATGAAGATTCATGCAGAATGCACGACAATTATTTTAAAAGACCCTACTTACCTAAGAAAAGTTGTTTACAAATACAATTTTGATGAAAAAGAAGAGGAATATGTTTTTTCCAATAATATGCCGTTTTATATTGATGTCACAATTATGTGTTTTATGTATATTATGCAAATAACTAAAGTTGGTACTGTCAAATTTGCACTGAATGATTTAATAACAATTATGAAAAGAAAATATCATATACCTCATACAAATGTCTTTGATACCCCACTATTAATTACTGAATCTAAAATAGCAACCTCTTATCCAAGTGTATTTATACAATTGCTGTATTATCTCAATGATACCATTACTTTTCCTGGCACTGAAATATTACGTAAATGGAATCTCACTAATATCTTTTGTACACCATTTTTAGCTTTAATTATCCCCGTAATTGAGTCCGAGTTTAAAACTCCACTTGCATTGCTTCTTGCCATGAGTGTTGCATTAGATAGAATGAACAAACCTTCTTACGTATTGTATCAACGAATTCTTGCATTATACACTTCCAAAGTATTCCCTAGGATATTTCAACTACAGGTATGCATGTATTGGGGTATTATATACAAGGAAGAAGATAGGTATAAATTTGCTCCTTATTTTACTACATTTCGTGAGGAAGCTAAAAAGCTAATATCATCTGTTAAGGCAAATGATACAAGCGTAAAATATACGCTTTCTCAAATATAGACGTGTGTAATTATATTCTCTATTGCTCTGAAAAAAATTAATAACATCCCGAGAAAAAATGTTTCACATATAATTATATATAATTACGTATAATTACGTAAATTATATATAATTACGTAATTATATGCAACTATACAAAATTATATATAATAAAAAAATTGATTTTACATACATATAATTATATACATATGGTTACGTATAAAATGTATCCATTTTTTCCCGAAATAACATAAAGAATTAATAATCACTTTTCTTGATTAATTAACAAAGTACTTAAAACGTAAATATTCGTTTCGATATTGCAATTATAACAATTATTATATAAATTATAAATATGTTAATTAATTGCAATAACAATAATTAGGAAGTGATGATACTGTCTAATAAATTCCTATCCGTTTCTAAATTGTTTAGGAGTAGATTTCTTCGACGTATGTTTTGGGTAATAAAAAGTACAATGCAACATCATTATTATAGATTTTAAATTAATATAAGACGCTTATTTAAAAGGATTGTTTCATTACGTGTCAGGTCTTTGTTTTTTAGGAAACAGTTTTTAATATTACAAATAGAAATCCAAAACAATTGTGTTATAAATATTTTCTAGATTTTTAATATAAAACAAAATCTTTTTGATGGTTCCACCTTTATGCATAAAAAGATAACATGAAGCAATTTATATAAATCAAACGCTATATTGATATAAGAAAGTACATAAAATGAAAATTTTTTCTTAATTACAATTGTATTGTGCTTTAGATTAACCTTTTAATTCTTTAAGGGGAAGCAATTTATTACAAGGAAATGTATATGGTATCTATTAAAAAAAATAATATTAACATAGAAAACATACACATATATACTTTAAGATACCTTGTTAAATAAAGTTTTATATAATATTTTTGACTTTAAAAATTTTTTTAGATGAAAACAGAAAATGTATAAATGATTTGTTGCATGCATAATATTTCTTTCCTAAAAAAAGTTTAAAGTTGAGAATATTTTGAAGTTGAAATGTTTTTTATAATATAACTCAACATGAAATGATTTATTAAATTGATTTAATAAATCAATTTAGATTTAGATTGAGTTAACGCGTCAAAATGATGATATCGATTTAATATTGATTTAATATCTAAATGACAATCATTTATATTTTGCTGGATAATTATTACAGATTTACTTAAATGTAATTTTTAAAAGAATACCATATATATTTTTGCATCATAAGCATTTTGCGCACGTTATTTTATAATTTAATCTAATTTAAAGTTGCAAGATAAAATTAAAAGACATTTTCTGGTGACAGTATCCTTACAGAAAAACTTAATGTCAAATTTTTTTTAAATTTAATTGACTACAGAGAGTTAATGTAATACCCTTTGAAAAATGAATTTTTAAAAATAAGTTAACAGCTTATTTGTGACTATAAAATTTTTTATAAAATTTTGTATGAAATGTCTAAATATTTATACTGTACGGTATTAAATATTCATTTTACAAAAGATTCATATTGTAAAACACTATTGTATAAATAATTATTAAAAGAAATTAATAAAATGTAACTTGATTACATATCTTATTATTTCTGCACACGTCAACATTTTTCCTTATTCAAATTAGTTCACTAAGATGTGAGGCACCATCATTTAAACGATTCTATCTTTGCTTATATGTATATCTTGACCCTTTGTTGCATATATACAAATATTGCATATTATAATCATATACATTATAAATATAATTTAAATTGCCAATACATTTCTTGAAGGTTGTAATAATTAATCATCGTACTAATATTGCAAAATTATTTATTAATATTTTAGATTAATATTATAATTTAAATGAAGGTTAGCATATTGATTAAATTTTTATAATAGACGTCTAATAAATTTTTTGGAAATTATTCTTATCTACATATTATATATGTGCATAACACGAAACACACAGATACAATATGCTGTAAGCAAAGATAGTATGAACAAAACAAAGACGATAATCATAAGGAGTTACTTCTCTATTTATTTTAATACATATCTCCAAATTCAACATATACTATAGAAAAATGTATAGCATGCTGAGTCTGACTAGGGTTGTGTTCTAATATTTATTGCCAGTATTGAAAATACTATAGGTACGCTGCGTGCATAGATTTCCGACACCGACAGTGATATCGAAACGCAGCCTAATGTACGTTTATAATCTTTGCTCTTTCGTCTTTCTTCAAAACCTTAGGAAATATTTTTCTAACTATCACTCGTTATGAGTTTTGACAATATTCAAATAACGTTACACAAGTGTATCGTTTAGAATTAATGATACTCTTCGAACTTTTACGACGTATTAAGTCTCAGGTATGTACATAAAACATTGTATTATATACGTATTTCACTTATAAATCTTTTTTGAAAAATACTGTTCTTCTACTGAGTTTCTAACACCACAATTGGATATAAAATGATTTCTGCGCTTCCAAGATTGTGAATTAGAATATATCTGTTAACAATCGTTGTGAAACTCATAAATATATTTATATGTTTTGAAACGTGTGTAGAAGCTGGATACATATATATACACATGGAATGGCAT